TTTTTTTTACCCTATATACGATGATCTCGTAATTCAAATTTTATAATTTCTTTAAAATTATAAATTTAAATTTTATTAATAATGTAAAATTTGATGTTTTATAAATATATTATGAACTGGTAATGACTAAATTATAATATTTAATTTAACAAAACAAAATTTATTAATGTATTGATAAGATTACGATAATAAATTAATTTAGTTTTAACGAGGCATAATGTATTTAAGTAAAAGAAATATTTTATGACGATTATGTTCCCTTAATTCTAAATACGTTGGTTTAATGGTTGAGATTCTTATGTTTTACTTGAAAGTCACAAATTTAAATATTACAAAAAATATATAATTTATCACTTTTATGAATTTATTATAGTACGACGATATTCGGTTTATATAATTTTTTATTTAAAGAAATTAAATAATTAAATTTATTAGTATGTTAATGAGATTATAATAATCAATTTATGTTTAATATTATTAAATTAAAACGTATTTAAATAAAAAAATATTAATTTTTTTATAAATTATAAAAATCTGACATAATTTTTTTTTATAAAAAAACCATTTTTAACTATACCAATATATATATATATAGTGATTTACTTTATTATTCCATTGGGGTATTCTCTAGAAAATTTAGAATGAAATACATTATAAAAGTTTTTTAGTCAAATTAACTACTAAAAATACTGCACAAATGACTTTTAGCAAAAATAATTTTAAAGTAAAGGCAATGTAATATTTTGTAAAAAATTTTGGCTAAAAAATGGTGCCATAAATTATTATATAATAAAAATATTAATAAATACATAAAATGATAAATAATTACATATATATCATAATAAAAATACTATTTTATTATTTTTAATTATTTTTTCTTTTTAATTTTATAGTGCAAATAATTTGAATATATTTTATTTTTATTTTAAAATCTTTATATGAATATCACAGATTATAAGTACGTGTAATTATAATAAAAACTATCATATATAAAATAGTATCATAAATTATTAGTGTGTATCACAAAATATATGTTTCACGTTTTTTTACATACACAAACATTGTTATTGCATTCGATCGAATCCGAATTAAGTTAGTTGATTGTAAATTTTAATTGAATCTAATAACAACGTAATAAATAATTTACGTTGATCGTAAATAATTCAATCGAACTCAATCAAAAACTTATGATCCTTTATTGCTAAAGATGTAAACTTCATTTCAAGATTCAACAATGAAAAGTACAAACAATTTGAGTGCAAAAGTTGTTATGCTTACGAAATTCAAGCATTATTATGATCTTCTTTAGCATTCTTCTCGCCACATAGACTTGGTTTAAACCCAATCTCCAACATCTTCTCCACTTCTTCAAATTGCAGACCTTTAGTTTCAGGCACCAGAAAATAAATGGCAACAAGTCCAATGAGAGAAAACCCAGCAAAGAGCAAGAAAGTCCCAGAAGAACCAATAGCTTTAGTAAGACTTAGAAATGTCAAGCTCACTATAAGGTTAGAAGTCCAGTTGGATACTGCTGCAATTCCTCCTCCAATACCTCTATATCTCAATGGATATATCTCCGAATTCACGATCCACGGGACAGTTCCCATTCCGGGGGCATAGACGATGATATATAATCCTAAAAAGATAATGGCTAGAAACCCGAATCTGCTTGGACAACCATCTTTGAACCATGTCCTTCCTTGAGCATGACATGAGTCTTGTAGTGCATCAGTTTTAGCAAAGCATGCTCCTGGGCTGAACTCATTTTTATTGGCACAAAAACCACATTCAACTTTTAAGCACTTCATGCAATTCCACTTGGTGGGATTATTAGCTCGAATGAAAGAGGTGCAAGTGGAATTTGCAAAGTTGGTAGATTCAACTTGATCTATCTTGGGTGAATGAATCGATGCTTGGCTAAATATGATGGATAACACGATGAGACAAGAGATTATTCCATACATGGATACGATCATGAGCCTCCTCCTTCCATATCTATCTACAAAAGCCATGCTGATAAGGGTGCATAACCAGTTGAGACTAGAAGTGACAAGGGAGAGAGCTAGTGCTGTACTGTTAGAGGCATATCCAGCAAATTGAACAATCGAAGGACTGTAATACATGACTGTGTTTATACCCACAAATTGTTGAGCTACTTGACATGTGACTCCTGCGTATAATCCTCTTCGAACCACTTTGTTTCCAAAAGCACCCTTTAATTTTGCACCAAGACTCTCTCCAATCGAAGCCTCTTCTTCCTTCTCGTGCTCAATCGAGGATCTTAGAGCACTCAACTCGTTTTCAACTTCATCTGCTGGGTAAATCCTTTCAAGAATTGCTCTAGCTTCATCGACCTTATTCTGATCAAGAAAAACAAGGCGGGTTAGGTTTAAATTTCTTGGAACACAAGTAATTTGTGAGGAATCAGAGATTTTGGTAGACCTTTCTGTAAAGCCATCTAGGAGATTCAGGCAGAGATAACATTAAAATGAATTGAACAAGAGCTGGTAATCCAGCAACACCGAGCATCCAACGCCATGTTCCATGAACTCTAGTGAAGGCAAGATTAATAAGATAAGATAAGAATTGTCCTCCGGTGATGAGAAAACCATTAGTGCTAACAAGTGCACCTCTTATTCTAGCTGGTGAAGCTTCAGAAATGTAAAGAGGAGATGTCATGGAAGCCATGCCAACTCCTAAACCAACGAAAATTCTTCCGATAATAATCATCCATGGAGCTGGAGCAATTGCCATTATAATTGCTCCGAAGAAGAAGAGAACATCTGCTATTAGGATTGACATCCTCCTCCCAAACTTATCATTAATCCATCCGCCTATAGCAGCACCAAATATAGCTCCGGCCACAGCCATGCTGACAATCACTTCCTGCAAAAAGGTTCTCCTCTCGACTTCTTCGAACTCATCTTTGATGTACAGCAATGCACCAGATATGACACCTAAAGTCCAATAACAAAAGCAATATTTTCACAGTAACGAAATCATTCAACTTCAATTTTTATGAACTTATTGATCATAAAATTACAAATTAAACCGAATCATTTAATAAGATGAGTAGAGATTTACCAGTATCATAACCAAATAAGAGGCCTCCAATGCCAGCTGATAGTGCAAGTCTGAGGATGTAAGGTGTTTTTATTGTTGTCCTCAAGCATTCTGTGAATTCTGTCTTATCGGCTTTCACAGTTCCTCCCTCAGCCATCTTGATTTCACCTTATAGTTAATTATCTGCACATCAACCACTGTAAAAATGTAGCTTGCAGTATGTTTTGTACACTTTATCCCTGTATATATGTGTGTGTATATGTATATGTATATGTAGATAAAATAAATTACTTTTGAATTCTACCAAGTCAAAATAAACCCAAAACCCAGAAAATTTTTGTGTAATATACTTACCCCAAAAATTTTTGCAGCATGTTTTTTACACTATCTCCATGCATATACGTACACATATATGTAGATCTGAAAAATTATTTTTGGGTTCTAACAAATCAAATAAACCCAAAACCCAGAAAAAATTTGTGGTGAAGAAAAGGGACGGATTCAGAAGAAGAGAAAACTGGCTTGCTGCTTAAGAGAGAGAAAAAAAACTGATGGTATAAAAAAAAAAACCCTCATGAACAGGAAAAAAAATAACAATCAAATTGTTTATAAATGGAACTTGAAGATTCAATATAAAGAGAGAATAATCATACCGAAAATAAGAAAATTTGTACACTTGATCAGCCTTTGTACAAGTTTTTCAAGCCAGAAAAGCTTTTCTTCTGCCTTCGTTTGCTATGTAGCAAACGACGCCTTCGAACTTCGATCTTATAACCTTATTCGCAGTCGTTATCTCAACAGTAATATACCGATTTTTTTTTATTATTAAATTTTAAAAAAATATATTAAAAAGTTGTAAGATTTTAAATAATACATTGGAAATTATAGATCGGAAGATGAGAGTAGATAAACCGAATTGTAAAATTCTTATTTAACAAGTGAAATTTCTAGGTTTGCTTAAGAGACTGTTCGGCTAAATTTAGGAAGATTTGATGAAGTTTTAGGGCATACCACAAATTTCTCTCCTCATATTTTTGGTAATCTCTAAAATCACTAACTTTTCGCAAAGCAACACAGCATGGACTGAGTTGGGTTTCCAATTAAAGCCATGGATTAATCCTTTTAGGGATAAGATTGGTTGTATTTATCTTGTAAAAGCTTAGTTTTTTGTATATATAGAAAAAGGAGATATATATACATATATATATATATATGTATAGTTATCAAAAAAGAAATGTATATTTATATAGGTTATAGTTTTAACTCTTTCAAGATAGAATACAAGGTTTTGCATTGGTGGGTGAAGTAGGGTTTATGGTATTTTAGAATTTCTTTTATATAAATGTTTTCTTCTTGAATTTCTAAATTCTAAACCCACCCAATAATTATTTGTGCATTTATTACATATTAAATTTCAAAAATTTTAAATATTATTGGTTTGATACGTTCAAAGTGTTACTAACAAAAAATTAAATTTAGATTATAAATTAAAAAATATATTTATTTAACAACTAAACTACCAATTATTAGTTGAAGATATGTGTATATATATATATATATATATGTGTGTGTGTTGAGGCGGAGAGGGGATAAAAAAGAATGAAATTGTCAAGAATGGGATTCGAACCCATGCCCTTTCGGACCAGTACCTGAAACTGGCGCCTTAGACCAACTCGGCCATCTTGACATTTGTGATGTCGGGTCAAAGCTAAATTATATAATGTGTTAAATTTCAGAGCTTCAAGGCAAAAGTCAGCCCATTATGACTTGTTCTTCTTTAGCAAAATAAATAAGACAATACGTTGGGCCTGAATTGCAATTTCATGAGTTCAAACAATATATATGATCTTAAAAATACATACCCAATTGGCTGATTGTTCGTTCTCTCTCATTCTTTTACATAGAGAATATGAAATTTTTAATATAGGGTGATGTATATATATTCTCGTGTCATATAAGATTTGAACACTTAATTTCTACTTTAATGAAAACGGAGAAGCACTAGTTAACCTTTAAAAGTTAAGTTCGAAATATGAAATAAACGGATATACGAGTTAGACAAATTAATTTTAATCGATCGGAGCATACTGATCTCTCTACTTATATTAAATGCTACAATGCACTATTTGTCGAAACCAAATAATATCTTACACTTTTTTGATACCCAACATCCTCGAGCCTCTCTTCCCACTACAATCCAATTAACATTTTTGGGACTCCAATCAAATTGACCACAAAATGGTGTATAGATTTTTTAAAAAACCCAAAAAAAATCTTGTGTGGAAATCACATGATATTTTCTTCCTTTTAACTTTCTCAATCTGCAAAATTGCTGACAGAGAAAAAAAATATATATGAAGGAAGAATGGGAGTGGGGAGGAGAGGGGCTGTCCTATTTTTGTATAATCCTCTGCAACAACCCAAAAGAAAAAGTCACTTTCTCGCAACCACTTTTGTCGAATTCGAGTTAAACTGTGTGTTTTTTCGGGTATTTTTTCGTTAGAACGTCGCGGTATGATTAAATGCGGACTGAACAATATCTCTATCCCATCTCTGATGTTTATCCATTGGCTGCCTGCAACAATTTTGTGCATTTAAAAGCACTAATGGCTTCTATGCTTAAATGGGTAAATTCACTCTCTCTGCAAAACCTAACCACAAAACACAATTTTTAGGCTAATTTCACATTGTACACCAAATACTCTAAAACAATTTTCATTTGCTCCTCCTATACTTTGTATCAATGAAAAAGTAATGTCATTTCAACAGTGTAATTCTCTTTTTTTAAAAAAAAAAAATAGAAGATTACTCGAGACGATCGTGTTAAGTTTGATTTACGATTGACCCACATGATTTATACGAACAAGTAACATATACCCAGATAATATTCATGACTTATTTCTCGAGTATGTTGTTTATCAAGTGAAAATGTGAGATTACATGTGTGTATAGTTGTATATTTTGATGGAGAAGATGAAGTTGTGTGCTATAATTTGATGGGAAATAATGGAAGTGGAGGGGGGGGGGGGGAGAGTTAAGAGTTGGATGCGTACCCAGATAAGGCACTGCAAATGATAAATGAAATGAATGAAACTTTGCTGCTACTGCTTGCAAATGGCCCCCTACCCATTCAAACCATGTCAGTGAATTGGCTACGTCTTTCCTTGTTTTCTTCTGTCAAGTACACCTATACATACATCTATACATACATATACGCACACACATATGTATACATACATATATATCATCTTCCATTATAATCAGTAAGTGTTTATTCTTTTTGGGTTGGGGAAGATTCAATAATCCCTTCTTTTTCCCTTGGATTTCTCAAATAAAGTCCTTAAAAACACTATTAAAATTCGTAAGTTCGAGTCCGAACATACTTTTATACGAGTATTTTTATTTTCTATAAGTTATTTATATTATCTTATAGTTTGTATATGTACATCTAATTATTTAATTAAATAGTAAAATTTTTAAATAATTATTTAAAATTAAATATAGTGATGATTAAAGTGGTAAACTTGTAAGTGACATTATGGGCACCAGTACATACCCAAATTGTTATGTCTATTTCCATAGTAGACTTTGTGAAACTTTTATGTCCTCTTTTTCCCCCGTCACTTTATATTTTTATTAAATTAAATTGTACATTTTAATTTATTAATTAAAAAATAATAAAATTTGAATTAGTATATATATGTGTGTGTGAATTATTGTATTTAGTAAAGTTTTTAATTTATATATTTATTTAAATATAAAAATTTATAATATATATAATAATTTATGAAATAATTTTTTTTTTTTAATTTCTATTAAAAAATTAGAAATTTTCCGTATTGGTTAATATCCTCCTTCCTCTGTACTTTCTCTGTTTCTTGATGTTTACATATAGCATGGCCATTTTTATGCCTTATCAGGAAAAAATTTAAGTAAATTCAAGAAGAAGAAGAAGAAGAAGAAGAAGAAGAAGAGAGAAGATTTCAGATCCAAAAGCTTGAAGAAGAAGTATAGCCCGAGAATGTAGAAAGCCCAGCCCACTTACCAGCCTAAACGAAACGATTAAACTGAAACGACTTGCGGGTTTCCTTTTTCCATTTGTTTTTTTTTTTTTTCTTGGCTCGGTGGTGGTGCTGTTATGGCTTCCTTCTTCCCTCTCCTCAGAGTTCCAAAAGCCTAACCTTTATTTTAGTATTTAATGTCCTCCGAGGAACCTTTTGTAATCCCATGATTCTTCTTCTCCAAATTCTTACATTGGTTCAAATCATATTGTTTCATGTTTCAGATCCATTTTAACGTTGCCTGATTTTATTAAAGAATTCCAGGGGAAGAAGAGCAGGGGAAAAGGTATCCTAAACCCCAGAAATTTGTTTTTTATTTTGTCTTCAATGGTCTTTTTAGAATTTTTTTTTTTTGATGGGTTTTTCATTTTCGTTTTGCCTTTTGATGTTTTCATATTTCGTGGTTTAATGGTACATGTTGCACAAAAAAAAAAAAACTTCGGAGTTTTATACGATCTGGAGATTTATTTTCAAGCAAGGAGATCAATGGAAATAATATGTGTATGTTAATTCAAGAGTTAGCTTTACTGGGTTGTCTTTGATAAGCCATCAACTTTGTTTCGTTTTGAATAATTCACTGGCATTAACTTTAAACCAAGGTGTATGTTCTTGAAGTGCTGTGTTTTTTGTGGGAGTGGATTTTTTCTTAAAGGGTTTTCAGTGATTCTATAAACCTGTGTTTTTCTCAATGACTCTGTGTCCTGCTGATTAGAGGGGGTTAGTTGTTGTCACATGGAGATTGAACAGTTTTTGGAGCTGGGTGACCAGATCTTCAATGGTGTTTTAAGTGCATTCTTTAATTCAGAGAGAGTCAGAGAGTACTTTCTTGCATTTACACTTGCGTATTTTTGTACATTATTTATTTAGAGGAGCAACTTGAGTGAGTTGGTGCTTAATTGTTTACATCCCAGATTAAGTTCTTAATCTTGGTCTTGATTTTTAGTTGTATGGAATTTGATATGAAGTTTGCACTCGCCCATCTTTTACCTGAGGTTTTTAACCTAAAAAATAATGAAAGAGAAGGCAGATCGAATGTGGTCGGATAATTTTTAAGTTGCCAGTGGATGTTTATCTGAGAAATGAGAGTTACAGGAAGAGTTAATGAATCAGACAAACATAACATGTAAGAAAACAAGTGACAGTCACCTTGAATTCTTGTTTCTTGTTATGCCTTCAAATATCCAGTTCAGAATTGTACTTTCACCATCTTTTTGTTGAACACATGTTCTTTGATTTCTATGGATCTGCCATCGAGTTTAATGATACTTTTGTTTCTGTTATATTGTAAACTCCAGCTACATCGAGTCCTAGTCCTACATTTTTTTGCAACACCTGATTTTACTGATTGTCAAAACTCAGGGATCAACATTGAATTTCTTTGAAGATTGGATTGAATTAGTGATGTGTATAAATTCTCTCAGTTTTGCATTCTTCTGGGCTCCGATTTCATATTTGAGATGCCCTGTGTGGTTTTTATTTCTAAATATTAGATTTTTGTGTGAGGTCAAGGATGTTTAGGCAGGTTCTAAACGATTTGGTGGAATTCAACTGCTATATCTGATTGGGACTCAATTATGGACAATAATATTTTGTGGAATATAGGATTATTTTTTTCACATTGTTTGTGCTCTATGTTCTTCGACTTCTAGTAAGTTACAGGCATTTCCAGGTTAGTACCTTGTGGAAAATCTCACCGTATTACATTTTCTCAGGGTTGAACTTAGAAGTGCTGAGAGGGAGAGCTTGAAGTTGATTCTGCATCAGAGGTGCCCAGAAGTAGATTTGGAAAGGTACTTCTCAGGATCACTTCTTGCATTTAAGAGACAACAGTATTTTGAAGCTTTTAGGTAGCAATATCGAGCATGGTAGCAATATCGAGCATGCTTGCATAAACTTGAACATGTGTGGGCAATTCATTTTTTGTATACGAATTCTCTGTAATGTTTCTGTTATTGATTATATTTTACTTCATTAACTTTTTATTTGATATTTTGCTAGTAATACTGATGAAGAAGGGAAATCATTATAAAGTTTGCTTAGATCCAGAATATTTTTGCTCATACAGGGACCTGTGATTTGTGCAACTTGGACGGATAGATCAAGATCTGACCTATAGAAAGCACCTGATAGATTTGTATAAGTGGCAGGAAGCATAAAGTGGGCTTCAAGTTGCTATATTTATTTAAACCTGTCCGGCATCATATTTAGAAGACAGGTATTTTATAATATTCTTCTTTTCTCCATCTGGGTTTTTATATATATATATATATACCTTCCCTGCCTCTCAAGTTTCCTTTGTCAAATATAGGTCCTTGTTTTTTTTTTCTAAACCCATTTAGAAGACAATATGATACTTGATATTTCTTATTCTTAGGTAACGATTTAGCCTCCCAAGGAGCCCGTAATCCTGGAATTGAGTAGTTGTTGATATGCTTCCATAGTGCAACGATTCAGTGAAGGTATTGCAGATGGCTTTTTATTCCGAGGAGGAAAAAACTGAAGATTACCTTTTCAAGATTGTTTTGATCGGTGACTCAGCTGTTGGGAAATCGAATTTGCTTGCAAGATTTGCGAGAGATGAGTTCTACCCTAATTCAAAGTCAACTATAGGAGTAGAGTTCCAAACACAAAAAATGGACATTAATGGAAAAGAAATCAAAGCGCAGATCTGGGACACAGCAGGTCAGGAGCGATTCAGAGCTGTCACATCTGCATATTACCGAGGTGCAGTTGGTGCTCTTCTTGTGTATGACATCAGTAGGCGCCAGACTTTCGATAGTATTGGCAGATGGCTTAACGAGCTTCACAGTAAGAACCATGATAACTTTACCCCATTTTGCTTCCTCATACGTAGAATGCATTTACGGTTTTCTCTTTATATGTCAGTTAAGTTTCTGAAAATTTCGGTTTTTGTTGCATCTGGGTTTACTCTGCCATGGAACAGCACACTCAGACATGAACGTAGTTACCATATTAGTCGGGAACAAGTCTGATCTCAAGGATGCTAGGGAGGTACCGACTTCTGAAGGCAAGGCATTGGCAGAGGCACAAGGTCTATTTTTCATGGAAACATCAGCTCTTGATTCATCCAACGTGGCTGCAGCCTTCGAAACAGTTGTTAAGGAGATATACAATATATTAAGCCGGAAAGTTATGATAACACAAGAGATTAAGAAGCAAGATCCGAGCTCTCTGAGCAATGGGAAGACTGTTATGTTGCAGGGAGATGAGAATCAAGAAGAGACTAAAAAAGGTGGGTGTTGTACATCTTGAAACCAAACTAGAGTATAACTTATGCAAAGGTAAGATTCTTCCTTTTGCTAGTTCCAACCTAGCTAGAATTTGGCATTATATATATATATATATATAAATTCACCCCCAGCCCATCATATTTCTTCTCCATTGGTTCAATTATTTGATATTGTTGGAATGTTGAACTAGTGAGATTGGGTTTGTTGTTCATGATTAAATGTTGTGGTTGAAGAAGATGAGAACTCTTTAAGTAGCAAATGTAAATGACTTTGAAGGGGAGTAGAAAAGTTATATTTACACTTTCTCAAATTTCATGTTTCTTTTTGGTACTTCGATTTTCTAGGTTTCAATAATGCCGTTCTCCCCTCCAATATTTTTCTCATGTTGTCAATGATTACAATTGATGATACTAAATTTGCGTATTTATCAAAAGCGTGTTATTCAAATAGTATTACAGTCTCGTGTTAAAATAAATAATATAAGTTCGAATTTGTTCACTATTTTTATCTTAATATATGTATAAGTTCGAAACGATAACCTATATGAATATTATGGATTTTTTATATGTTTAAGATTATTTACCTAAAAAAAAGTAAAAAAAAACGTGAACTTTAGTTATTAAGTAATTAATTAATTATTATTACGGAAATTTATAAAATAAAATAATTTTAATAAAAGATGGTATTTTATGTTTGGAAGGAAAATTTTTTTAAAATAATATATATTTTTATTCATGCATATTATTTTCCCATGATGATACTCATGATGAACATCAAAATAGATAAATATGCAACTAAAAATAAAATAAAGGACCAATGAGTATCATCCACGTGGAGTGAAATAGTTTCAGGGACGGAAATACCCCTACATGGCGACGTGTCAGAATCTAATTGGCTGTTCTCTCAGCAGATACGACAAAGAATTGAATCGCCCGATTCACTCAGAGAATATCTGGATTTCCATTTGTAGAGACGACTACTCGACGTGTATACCCCCACCAGTCAATTTCGAGGGGGTTGAAGAAGATTGTTTCGGAATTTTCTGAGAAAAAACTTTTCCAACTTTCTTGGTGATCAATCAGTTCATCGATCAGATTTAATCAATCAAATCGATCGACCAGACGATGGGGAGACTGTTTATAGAGAATCTAAGTGGGCCTAAGATCTTCAAGTGCAAGTGTTGCAAGGTGGACTCTGCTTCTCATGACGATATTGTCTCGAAGGATTTCCAGGGTCGATTTGGCCGCGCTTATCTCGTCCGTTATGTGTACTTTTCTCCCCCCCCTTTTTCTCACCTGATTATTGTTCATTTATAGTTTAAACCCTTTTACTCAGTTTAATTTTCAGTGCTTGTAATTTGAATAGTTTATTAGTTTCTTCCTTCTAGATTCAAAGTGAAAATTTTAGGTTAGCTTCATGCAATTTTTATATTATTATTTAATTTAATTAGGTCACTTCACTGGGTCCACCTCAATTATTGGATGGTAATATGTTTTGCTGATCATTCATCGTATTTTAATGAATGCTCATGATTTATAAATCATGAAGCTAAAGTTGGTTTTTGTTCTTTCTACGAGTTGGTGTATTGTTGAACATATATATATACATATATATATATGGGCATGAATGGAATCGACTCGATGGGAGTTTTTTGTGTGATAGGGCATGAATGGAATCGATTTGATGGGAATTTTTCTTTGTGATGATTTAGATTGCATATTGTTTTCATTTGTATGATTCATAGAATCTGGAATTTGATTAGAGGGTCTGCACGTGAATTTTTCTTTTTCTTTTTTAAAATTTTGTGGTTTTTGAGTTCTTGAAATGATTAATGAAAGGGAAACTACAGAGTGTTTATAGATTGCCAAATCTGTTAGTTAATGGGTTGCTGTTGTTATTATTTTTGGTGCTTACTGGGCAGCTGACAGGAATTGACCAGTTGGTGCATGAATGTAACCATGTGAGAGACTTGAATATTGAAGAGACAGATTATCTGGCTGCTCACATGATGACAACTCTCCGGAAAATTTTATAGTGCAAGAAGAGTACACGTTTTAGGTTTACATGGTTGTATATCTAATTCTTTGACATCAATTGTTTAATCAGTGTCTAATCACTAAATGCTAGTCAGTTTTGTTTTATATTCTAAAAAACGGCCTCAAATTTAGTATTTGGGTTTTGGAATTTGAAAGATGTTTAATCAAGTTGAAAGACAGTAAACTAAGTATCAGGCGTTTAACAAAACTGCAAGAATGCCACATGCACGACTTTGTTGTTACTAAAATGTAGAACATGTTCTGATTTTGTTGAAATTCACCTTGGTGATATTTAGGGTTCATGTTTAGGAAAGAAAGTAATGTATGTTATCTGGGTTTTCTTAATTTGAATGATTCAGTGAAGGTTTATCCATTTCAGGGTTAACATAACTCTTGGACCTAGAGAAGATCGACGACTTATAAGCGGACTGCATACAATAAATGATGTTTATTGTAGCTCTTGCCAGCAGCTGTTAGGCTGGAGATATGTAAGTTTTGGAAACAACTCTAATTTCCAATTTCTTACATGATTCATTTTGTGTCCATATAAAGGCAAAACTTGTAGGCATTATTCGCTTTATAGATGCCAAACACTGACTTGCTTGATAAAGAACCTATTAGAACAAGCATAGTAGTTTTTCGTAGGCATTTGCAGTTCATTTAGGCAACAAATCTTGTCCGCTACAACATACCATTTATTTTCTTTACGGAGTGACTGACCTGCAACAGCATGAAGAATTAAGATATTTTGTTCTGCAAACTTTTGTGTCTGTTTCATGTCGATTCTATTTAACTAACGGTATTCATATCTTCAATTATACAATGATGCATAATACATTTGGATTATTATTTGTAAGAAAAGAATTATAAAACATCTAACTTGCATTTGACATAGAATCAACTTTGAATTTAAATCTCTTTTTACTCAAATCTTTATTTCATTTGTACTATATTCTTATTTTTATCTGATAGATTAATTGGAATGAGACTTTTAATGTTTAACCATCAATGATTTGATAGATTTGGATGTTGAAACGAATGTTAACTTGTGTCAATGACATCAATTTGTTTATGCTTATTTTCTTTATGCTAATTGCAAATCAATGCTGATGATCATAGGAGAAAGCCTTTGAGGAGAGTCAGAAATATAAAGAGGGATTGTTCATCCTGGAGAAGGAACGGATGCTGGAGGGTTGGTGATGTCAGCCTTTGAGGACAGTCCCGGAAGACAGAGAATCAAAGTTATATTGCAACTTACAGACATTCAACCAGTGATACATGTAAACAACATTGAAACTATCATTTTTTTCAGCTATAAAACTCTCAGTTGAAGGTTTTTGTGCAGTGTCAATTGTCAAATCACCAGTGGGTGATTCGCATGACTAGTTTTTGAGCGCCTTGCCGTCGCAAAGTCAAGTAGTGCTTTCTATATTGTTATTTGATAGAATTACTCGAAACATTTCAACTATACCAAGGGAAAACAGGCTCCTTATCGATTGATTTGTAAAATATTTTACTCATTTTCCGATATGGATGCAGAGTGCAAGAATAAAAGCCCGGAGGCTGCAACAACTTCAAAAATAGCCAGTTTTTATCAGAGAGAGACTGGAATTTTTGTTTCAAAACTTTCCATATAGGTTTCCTATAGAAAGGCACCAAGGTCCAGAAACAGGATCAGATTTTGAAGCAAACAAGGATAGAGTTGGATATCACTTTAAGGAATATCTGAGTGAAGAAAGAGTGAGAGTGGAAATGGTCCCTTTCCAAAGGGAATAGGCCAGTGAGCAATAACAGGAAATGGCCATGAATGGGACCTCTAACCCCTTCACAGCTTATCTTTTCATGGGTAAGTTTGGATAAGAGACCAATGTAAAAGGACTTGACATGTAAGTCAGGAATATGAATGGTTGGGGCCTAAGTTAATGTAATTATATGATCCCAGTCTAGTGGCTGAGCTCCAACCAAGTTTTTAAAGTGGGGTATTTTTGTGGCTTGGGTTCCTCCATTTGAAATCCCTAGTTTTGGTTCTTGGCTTCATGGGTTCTGCTCTTTCTTGTTGTTTATTGCCTGCAATATCTTCCCTTATCCTTTTCTCAGAAAGAAAATCTCATCTTGCAAAACCCTAAGATTGTATTCATCGGAATCTCAATCATATTATCGGATGTTTCTTAAAGTTTATTTTGTTAGAATTAACGAATTCTTCTTTTATAAATCGTAATAGTTTAAACTGAATATTTTTCGACAAAACAAACAGATTGTTAATTCACTTAAATAAAAATTTGAATAAAAATAATATTTTAATTTTAAATTAATTTTACATCTTATTTAAATTATGTATTTTTAAAAAAAAAATTTAGACTTGTAAGAATACAAGATCAGAATTGTATAAATTAATTTAATTTATTATTAGCTTATATATATCAAATAATTAAATATATTTTTTTAATAATTTTTATACTGTTTTATATACTTTTATCTAAATATAATAAAAATTAAAGTAGATTTTTTATTGGCTTGCAATTTCTGAAGAAAAAAAATATTATTTTTTCTAATTAAATTTGATCCTTCATATCTCATAGCTTGCTGGAACTACACATATGTATATATACATATATATATATAGGATTTAAATTTAGTATTTATTTAAAATATCCACTTTAAGTGAGTTTTATATCATACAATTAAAATAAGGAGGAAAAAAAAAACATATGAGGATGAGGATGAGGTTGCTTATATTCTCACATCATCCAATTTCAAAAGGCATGTTCATGGAGACAACTATGACTATACAAAACATTCATATATTATATACATATATATATATATATCATATATTTCAATAAAGTATAATTTATTAATAAATGAAGACACTCATTAGAGATTTTCCAAGTCAAAGTATATTTAAATTAATTTTTATTTATTAAAGTTAAATGAATTTAATCTTTTTTCAAAATACATAAATATATTTTATTAATTAAATGATATATCAATATATAATATAATATAAAATTATACTAAAAATATGTAAAAATATATAATCTGATTCGAGATTCTAACTTTTTAATATTAACACACACAAAATATTTAATCGAAAATTTAAACTCGTATTCTCATAAAAATAAGTTAAAAGTATCAACCATATAGTTAAATATACGACTTAGATAATAAATAAATATTTTACGGAGATGTAAATATTATAATTCCTCGAGAGAGAGAGAGAAAAGAAGAAGAAGAAGAAGATGGTGATGTAAATATTATCTTATTGTTTGGGACCTCTCAGATTGAGCAATCCCTGAAGAGTCAAACCAGTAAACCAACCAACAAAGTATCTGATTACAATCTGCCAAATACAAACCCTCTCACCATCAGAAGGGCAATGAAATAACAAAGAGTACCTGACAAACCCAGCAAACTTGCTGGATATTACACCAGAAAAATAAGACAAGAAAGAACCCAAATGATTAAAAATAGAAAATTTTTAGAAAACAATAAAAAATTCGTCCTTTTTTTCACGTTTCGCTGTGTCAATAACTCCGCATATTCCCAGCAATCTGATTTTACATCTTAAATCAAAATCCAAAGAAAGAAAAGAAATGAAAATCTACAGTAAAAAAACCTCAATGCTCAAACCTTACACAGAATCCCTTTGTAACCTTGCTTTTTCTGTCTCTCCCTCTCTCTCTCTCTAATTCTACGATTCGTTCATCAACACAAGCAACCAATTAGCTCTAATCATGTTTCAATATTAACTGAAGTATCTCAACGGGGAAAATGTACGATTTTTCGGTCATTCACCTGCTTCACCAGATATTACTTCACCTACAAGTAAGCTTTTTGACATCCATATCTTAATCACCCTAGGCAGCAATTCCTGCAACAAATGACAGCCATAATGATGTAAATATTATGAGGAAGCAACCAGCACAAGCTATCTGCTCTAGGGCTAAGAAAGCTAACACTTTGGCAAGTAACAAGTGTTCCTCGATAACTACGATATGATATTTTACTTGCAAGGAGCAAAATTCCATTTCAGACCTTGATTTTTAGGCGAGTAACAAGTGTTCCTCGATAATTAAGACATGATACTTTACGTGCAAGGAGCAAAAATCCATTTCAGAACTTGATTTTTATTAGGTTATAACCCGTTTTTAGTTTAGCAAAAAGCCATTTCCATACACTCTTTTTACCTATGCAACTGAATTTAGAGTGTATATAAATACACCTGAACTGAACATTTAAACAAAACTGAAAATCAAATAGAAGATGACTTCTAACCTCTATTTGTTTGTCTATTGGCAACACCATAACCACCCAGATAAGCAGCAGAGCTTTTAACCATCACATCTGAAGTTCCATTTCCAATTCCAAGACCAAATGAGCGAGAACCTTCTAAATCAGAAAGGGATCGCCAAGTGGAATCACCATAAAATGAATTATTCTCGTAACTATCAGAAAAGATCCATCAAAATTACCATTAGACATAGCATGTGATGATGCTGGTGCGACAGCAGATGCACCATTTCTTCCATAACCAACTGCTGATCCACACTCAAATCCTCACCACTATAATTTGAGTTTGCCACTGCCATAGGTAAAACCAGTAGCTCCAGCCTGACCTGAGCTAGGAGAGGAACCCCAAAGGGCTTCAATGCTGCCCAAAGAACCCATTCCTGAACTCCCATTTCCAGCATTCATAAAGGCACTGGAGTTTGAGGAATTTGAGACATAATTAAGACCTCCGCCACCCCACAAATTTCGTCCTGTTGAGCTTAAGATGGAGTTGTTTCCTCCAGTGCTTCCTCCATACCCAGCAGGGCTACCATACCTGTTTGAATTCCCACCATATGATGGGCTCATTCCCCGTCCATAACTGAGGTTAGAAACAGAATTCGCACTTCCTCCATAGTTTGGATTAAAATTTTGTTCAAAATTCAGTCCATTTCCGTAACCAGCACCAAAAGGAGAGAATCCACCTCGGCCAACTGTAACTGGACTATATCTACCATCCATTCTAACTCCATACCCTCCAACTGAACTTGGATTGTATCCCTGAGTGTATCCATTAAGGAAACTACTGATTCTACTCAGACCATGGTTATATCCACCTAACTGATTCCGACTTGATCCTGGAGACAATTCCTTTGGGACTGCACGCTTGACCTCAACCATTTTACCATTCAGTTCATGAAATGTTTTCTGCAACACTCTCTCCACTACTTCCTCCGAATCATAGGTTATGAATCCAAAACCTCTTGGCCTTTGTGTGTTGTGGTCATACATCACCACAACATCTGTAATTACCCCAAACTGATCAAAGTACTTCTTGAAGTCACTCTCCGTAACTGATGATGCTAGACCCCCAACAAATATTTTCTTTGTGCGGGCAGGACCAGGCGACCCATGGATGCTGCTATTGCTTTTGTTCAAAATATTCTGGTCATCCCTAGGAACAGCTTTCTTTGCCTCAACCTGAGATCAGAAAGCCAGATGGTGTAAATCTAGTAACATAATTTGATGTCTACAATTTAAAAAAGGCTTGATATTTTGAACATCTACCCAAGTAAAAATAAGCACAAAAAGAAAGCTTCTATATCTTGCAGTTGCAGCACAAATATTAGCAATTCTGGAAACTTAACACCTAAAATATTCTTTGCTTCTCCCAACAACAATCCCAATTAGCATAACTCAAGAAGATTGGTGTTAGGAACAGGATTAAGTTCAAGAGGGAAATCAAGAAGACAGCTAATATTCTTTCTTTGTTCTTCTATTGCAGCTTTGAATATCAGCATAAAGGACAGTATTTTATATTGAGAGCCTTCCAAAAAGTGACAAAGTGGTGCCATCAATAACAGGCAGCAGATAAGTGTTGTTGAAAATTTAAAACCGGTCTTTTTCTTTCAACACAACTATTTGGCACCATCAATCATGCAAATTTTGTGCTTGCATTTAATTCTCTAATTGACCACATGTTTGCCAAAGAAAGAACTTTGATCAAGAAAACAGTTAGGAATTGCTGTCATGCCATATTTCCCATCAAACCTTTGACCTCGGAAGTAAATGAACATGAGGGAAAAGTATAGACATGACAGCATTTTCATTTCAACATCAACAATTCCATCACCATCTTAAACAATAAGGTAAATTACGATGCAGACAATTATCACCAACCCGTCAATGAAAAGCTCACCTAAAAGAATCTGAATTGTATGTATTACTAACAGTTTATTGATTAAAACTAAAAAATCAGAGTAATTACAATGTTCAAAATTGTTATAAGGATTGATGAAAACCAGAAACTTACAGTTCTACCATCTATCATGTGTTTTTCCATGACAACTCTCTCTGCAACAAGAGGGTCTGCAAAAACAATAAAACCAAACCCACGGGCACGACCTGTTGCTCGATCCTTCATAATTACGGCTTCCAAAACCTCTCCAAATGCCTGGAAATACTCTCTAAGACGATCTTCATTTGTATCCCAAGAAATCCCACCA